AATAATAAAAAGAATCATTAATTAATATCTAATAATTAATTAATATTTATTTTAATGTTTTAATGAGAAAAAGATTAAGTATATAATTAATAGTATATAAGTAAATAATTAATACTAATTAATAATGAAAAGATAAAGACGCTGAAATAAAATTACCTTCCGAGACTATCAGTATGTCTTCAGCAAATCTATTCTATAATGTATTCTAGAAATAAAATGTAAGTATATTATTAATAATTAAGTTTGCTTATTATTTTGTATTTTTTTAGACATCTTTATTCGGAACTTTGCCGAATAGCTCGCGACATAAATGGCTACTTTGGAATACAATTGACTTTGCAAATGATATCTTATTTCATTATTTAAATTGGATTATTTCATTATCAATACTACTCAATATTGCATTGGAAACAGATACGCGACAATAATACAGTACTAAAAATAATAATTTCTGGCTACTGGTGGTGTACCTTCTATTTAATTAAGCTTTTATCATTGAATTATATGTGCGAAAGTGTTAGTACTAAGGTAAATATTTTTAGTAATGATTCAGAATTGTAAAATATTAAAATAGATCCATGCTTATAATATAAAATATTGCGTAACATAATAAACAACATAACTATTAATTTCCCTAAAAGATAAATAATTGCAATTAATAAAACAAATTTAATCAGATAGTTTTCATTTTAATCCGTTTCTAATTAGCTGAATTATAATTCTCAATTTGCAATCTTTAGTCTCTAATGCGTAGTGTGACACGGGCATAAGGTTCACCCCAACTTCTGTATAAGACCGTACGACTTTTAATGCAAAACATTTACTTTACATCATCCTATGCCTACAAACGTTCGACTTTCTCGAAGCGAAGTCTACCCCTTCCCTTTTTCTTTATGATATAATAACTATGATATAATAACTTTAAATATAATAATTATGATATAATAACTTTCTATGGAAAAGTGGGTGAATCTTGTTTCGCATGACAAGTTCGAACGTTCCTAGGCAGGAGGGAAATGTGAGATCGTTTTACATGGAAAGTTGGACGCCCCTTGGTAGCAGTATGGAGGGGTGGACATTGCTTAGCGTGGAAAGTATAAGAGGTCATACTTTTTACAATATATGTCAAGGTTAAGGTTATCGTGGTTTCTTAATCTAAACTTTTACCAAATTATTTAAAATAGGTTTCATATTTTTGTGGATCACTCTTGGTTGATTATCGCTATCAAAGCAACAACAAAGATTTCTAGTGCATAATAAATATTATCAAGATTATCACAAAAATTATAATTCTGAAAAGATCGTATCAATAATTACCAAAGCAATTATTGTAAATGTAAAATAACATAATTAATCATTTTAGGCGCAAAAAACCAAGGAAGTTATTTATAAACTAACAAATTTAAATTCTTTTGCCGAGGTACGCGAAGAGGTAAAATAAATTTTCTATACAAATATATTTAAGTAATCTTTATAACGTAAAAATTGTATATTATGTAACGCAGATTTATCAGTTTGGTTTGCAAACATCACTGCAACCGTTGAAGTTTAATGGATTGGGTCTATTTTATTTTGGCTACGATTTTATTCGTAAGGTTAATCTTTAACATCATTAATATTTTTAAGTAGAAACTTAGTAAGTTGCAAAACTTTTTTAACAATAATGTTTTTTATATATTTTTTTTTAGTTCTTCGTATGGCTAATCACTGCAGTTATTTTCATGGCGCAAATGGATTTTACTCCTATGTGGTACTCTTTCCGAGATTTAAAACATAAATAATATAACATATTATGACAAATAATAGGTAGAATGTTAAAAATTGAATTGCTTTGTCATTCTAATTCTGTTTTTATTTACTATCATAATGTATATAAATATATGGGCTTATAAAATTTGCAAATAATAATATTAACATTAAATTAATTTTGTTACGTTGCGTTAATGTATCATATATTATAAATAAAGTATTATATATATTATAATTCACGTCATATATATTATAATATACATATATACATGTATATATATATATGTATGTATGTAGGTTGTTTGATAAAGACCGTGACAATAAGATTCCTGAGATCATTTTGAGATAAAAATTATAAAAACAAAATTTCTGTAATATGTTTTTGAATGAGCACTTAAAGTTATCGAATCATTTACCATCTGAAGTTTGCGTGTTTAGGTGTGGTTGGATTTTCCGTTGTATTATAACAGACCGCACGAATTTTAGGCAGTATAATTCGATAACTTTATTTTTTACATAATTTTAATAAAAATTTTAATACGGAACTAAATATTTTAACTGAGTTGGAAATATTTGCAGTAATATTTTATTATTATTGTTGAGCACCATCATAAATAGTATACAACGTTAATGTGTTGATGTGTTGAATCTATAAATTATTCTACTACCTCGATAAACTAGCTGTATATCAGCCAAATGAGTCCAACAGACATACGATGTCAGTTTTCAATAAGAATGATAATGACGAGTATGATGAATTTCATAGAACAAGTTATACGTTCTTCGTTTTGGATTTGTCACGTTCTTAGTCTAAGCGTCTATACTCGAAATCTTATTTGAGTATTTTATAAATATTAACTATTGAATCCCAAGTTGAGAGTCATGCATTATGTACAAAAGGCGCATTCATCACGATTACATGAGATGATATTTGATTAGATCAACTCATTACAATGTCGTTAAATCATTAAATGACGTTGTAATAAGCTGATATAATCAAATGTTATCTCATAATGAATACGCCTTTTGTACATTGCGCGGCTCTGAACTTGGCATCCAATAGTTAGTATTTGAAATTGCAACTGTTACGATCATGGTTGATACTATACAAAAAGCTTTAAGACCTTTGACTTTAGTTGCTTTTGTCCTTGGCTTTGGAAATCTCAAATATCCTCTTAATTATTGGAGATTTCGCTTGAGTATCTTTTATACAATAATTGTGTGGAGTTTCTGTGCCTTTGCGTTTCATTTTATGATGCACAAATTTTCACCAAATCGTATATTTAATAACTATTTAACTTTTTTTTCGGTAAATATAAATATTTTTGTGAAGATAATACTTGTAAGCATCACCGTTTGCAAATACCAGGTATATTTTTTACTTATAAATATTAAATCGTTTTTTTTCTAGCACTCTAGGAGGATGCTGTTTCTTACAGTAGCTGTAAAAAGTGATTCCAGCGGTTTAAGAGTCGAAATTTCGACCTTAATAATGCAAAACGAGACAGTCAAAGAAAATCAACGATGAGAAACTGAAACAACTTTTGGAAGAGAATTTCTGTCGCACACAGTCAGAGCTCGCACAGGAATTTGGAGTAACAAGGCAAGCTATTTCTAAACGTCTACATAAGCTGGGAAGGATTCAAAAGGAAGACTATTAGGTTCCTCACAAACTCACAGCTGAGAACAAGCGTAGACGCTATGATATTGCTGTGTCGTTGCTATTCCGAAAAAGGATTTTCTGCACAAGATTGTGACCTGTGATGGATCCTCTATGATAATCCAAAGAGGCGAAAACCGAGGGTTTATCCGGGACAGTTTTCGAATAGTATCGCAAAACCGAATATCCACGCCAAGAAGGTGTATATGATGGGATCAGCAGGGCATCGTTCATTGCTCCAACCGTGAAACGTCACTGCTCAACGTTATCAGCAGCAATCGATTCGTGTTAGTGACGTATTGGAGCAGAAAAGTCTTTACACCGGCAAGGGAAGAAAGAAGGTCATCTAAAGTAATGCATTTAACATAAATGATCTTGTTTCCAATCATATTGCTAAAAAAAATACACACAAAACAAACGTTTTTTTTTTAAATTCGAAATAAAAGAGACCGTTTTTAAAGAAAGAAAGAAAGAAAGGGACAGGGAGGAATAGAGAAAGTACTGACATCGCGTCGCTAGAATCTTTTGATTTACACTCTGTCATTCCTAATTATTGATAGTTAAAATACTAATAAATTCTTTAAATTTCATAAAATTGCTTCGAAGCTACATTCTTAAGACTATGTAAAGATTGAAAAAATATAAAATAAAGACAAATAATTTTTGATTCTTTAAATTAGAAATCTCCTTAAATATTCCATATCCTTCGAAATCTGATTGTCAAACCTTTATTATTATATAATAGTCTTTTTTTTAAACAATCAAAGCACTATTTCAAACTATACTTAATGTATTCATTTTGGAAATTAATTTATTTACCTCAGTAGACATGATGGTCGGATCTCGAGTGTTAAGAGCTCGATTATTATATTTATATATTTGTTTATGCATGAATACATATATGATATGATCATGATAGTTCCCAAGACCACTTGTGTTTGTACTTACTTGTAAAAAATAATAATTAAAAAAAGAAACCTTCTATAAAGTAATCAAAAAAAAAAAAATTGTACAAAAACTAAATTTGATTTATTTATTATAGCGTTTTGTATAACTATATACACACTATTTCGTATAATTATACTTTAATATAGAAATGTGCGAAATGCAACTCAAAATAAAGTGCAATAATAATTTGCATATGGATCGATTATTTCAACTGCTCTATTTAATGATTTAAAGACATTTGCGATTTAATCAGATATAATTATTTCATTGTAATGATGAACATAACGTTTGCAGAATATCAACTTTGCAACTTGCAAATTCTAATAGTTAGCACATGAAATTGCGAGAGTCACATCAAATTCGATAGTATAGAAAAAGCTAAGTTTTGTTTTTTTAATTACTTTATTTTGATCTAGGAATTCTCAAATATCTTTCG